ATTTCGGTAGGCTGGTGCGGCTGGAGTACCAGCAACTTCTTCGGCAGCATCCTCAAGCCGGAGGTCTTCGAAAGGTCCAGTTGCTCAAACAAGCCATGAGGAGTGCGGGCTCTCAGCTCGATCGAGGCCCCGGGCACTATGCTGAGGCGCTGACCTTGGAGGGCCGCTTGGGCGTCACGATGCGCTTCCTTAGGGCGGCTGAGACCAGCTCCATGGGAACGTTGTCGACGTGCATGTCTCGCTACCCCCGGCTCCGGGAGTTCTTGGACAACCTTTATGACACTGCCTGCCACACGACGCGTCTCTTGCAACCGGTCCGTGACCACGCAGTTGACTTGGCTAGGGAACACGCTTTGGACGAGCTTGGCAAGGCCACTGTAGAACTCAAGGGAGGGGAAGAAATCGCTGCGAGAAGGCGCAAGAATAAGGCCACGCAGTTGCTTCACCGACTGCTGCCAGGGAAGGGGGGCGGCATTCGAGCAATCCGGGGCGCCGGAGGCGAGCACCTCACCGAGCCCGCTGCAATGGCCGGGGCCCGGGGCGCTTCGGGACCATAGGGGGGGGCGTGTTCGCCGGCCGAGGCATCAACGCTGAGCTGTTGCAGCAGTGGCTGGACGAGGACGCGGCCCACCGGGATGAGCACAGTCTTGGGCGCGAAACCGTGCGCCAGATTCGTCTTCGCAAGCACCGCCTCCGCAGCGCCATTCAGGCATCCAACAACTCCGCCCCGGGCCCAGATGGCATCCCCTATGCGGCCTGGAGGTGCCTGGAGGACATTGCGGTGGACGTCCTTTATGAAGCTTTTCATCAAATCTGCAGCGACGACGCCCCTGCCCACATCGATGCCGAATACGCCGATTTCAATTCCAGCATCCTCATTTTCCTCCCGAAGAAAGCTGTCGGAGTGATTGGCGACGGGGAGGAGCTCTTCGACCCGGGAGGCGTGCGCCCGCTCAATATCACTAACGCGGACAATCATGTCGTTTCATGTTGGACCAGTGCTAGGCCCCTTGATTATCGACGACCAGCGAGGATTTATCCAAGGCCGCTCAATGATCAGCAATATCGTCGACGTGGACGAAGCCATGCTGGAGACGGCGGCGCAGACGGAAGGTGGAATGGCATTCTTCTTCGATTTCGCCGCGGCCTTCCCCTCGTTCGAACACCAGCTGCTGATGAGCTTCTTTCGTCGTCTTGGATGGCCCAGCTGGCTGCTAAATTTCATTGGCGGCCTTCTACAGGAACAACAACTGCGAGCTGGGCATTGCTGGTGGGCGTTACCTTGGTTTCTGCTTATCCAGAGGCATCCGCCAGGGCTGCCCGCTGTCGCCGTTGCTCTACGCTGCCTGCTCGGACTTGCTTCTTCGCCGGCTTCGACGATTATTTCCGGGCGCCGCCGCCCGGGCTTACGCCGACGATCTTGCGCTGGTGCTGGCGAGTGCGCGGGCGCACCTCGGCAGTTTGCAGCAGTTCTTCGACGAGTTTCGCCAGATTTCCGGCTTGGGGCTGAATGTGCAGAAAACAGTGGTAGTCCCTACGGATCCATTTGACGAGGAGCGAGCGCGGGCTGCTATCAGCGCTTGCGCGCCTGGCTGGGGAGGAATCGTGGCGGCCGCGGCGGCGAAATACCTGGGCGTCTACATCGGCCCCGGTCGCGGGCAGCTGTCTTGGGAGACCCCCATCAGTAAATATTTGACGCGAGCCAGTCAGTGGGGAGAAGTGGGCGCAGGTCTCCTTATTTCTCTAAAGGCGCACCGAGTGTACATTGCATCCGTCCCCTTATTTGTGGGGCAACTAGAAGTGTTGCCGCGTGACTTCGCGCGCGCAGAAGCCGCAGCTTGCCGACTGTTGTTCCGTGGCCCGATGGATTGGATCACCACCGACGCCCTTCGTGAACTCCGCGCTCTGGGCAGCGCAGACCAGCTCGTGGACGTAGAGTCAATTGTAGTTGCAGCCAAGGCGCGAGTGGTCCGTTACGAGTCCAACGGCTCCTTTGGGATCCGGCGGCGGGCGACGCATATGCAGCGGCTCTCTTGCGCCTCAGACGCCTCGTCTCTGGCGCGGGTGGCGTGGCTGAGCGAGTGGCGCAACGGCAGCTTCTTGATGAACCTCAGCCGGGCCGACGAACAGGTTGCGGCGGTCCGTCGCCAACAACCGCACGCAGAGCATTGGGAGCAACGCTCGGGGTGGCAACGGTTTACAGCCAACCAGACTTACGGCCAACCGCGTGCACAAGCAAGTGTTCACCTGCGTCGCAGACTGGACCACTGGTCCCTGGATATCTTGCCTGGCCGCCGGCTGGGGCCTGCCCTGCGCGTTCTGCGGATGGTGGGTGCCCGCTGTCTCCCGCGCGTCTGGGCTGCAGTGCTCCGCCTCTTCTGCAACGGTTGGTGTGCGAGTACCCGTTTTGGTGGGAGTTGCCCATGCCGATTTGCATGTGGCGCAGGGGAAGACTCTATCACGCATTTTGCACACTGCCGCGCTGTCCGTGACCTCTTCCACCAGAAAGCGGGAGTGGAACTTGCGCCGGGCGCGCTCGCATTGGATGATTTCCTTGGCTCGGGGGGGACATTCCGCGCGGACGAAGCCACTATCAACCGGGCGGTGGCGGTGTACGCGCTGTGCCGGGTGCACAATGGCCGGCGACGCCATCTCTTGGCGACGAGCGAAATCTTGGGCGCCTTCGGCGAGTACTTGATGGAGGGGCGCAGCGGCCACGGCACGGACGCGTGAGTGATCGGCGGCCGTCCAGACCGTTACGGCGAGAGTCTCGATTTTGGCCGTGCCGGCCGATCCTCGATTTTAGGTTGGTCCCTGTTGTTTCTCCCTCCACTGCTCCTCCTCCTCCTCGCCTCGCCCCCTCTCGGGCGGCCGGTTCGGGGGATGCCTGCCCGTCGATTTTGGATCCATTGCAGGCAGTCTGTTGTCCCAGCCGCACGGCCGATGGCGTCTCAGCGTGGGCTTGCATGGAGCGGAAAAGGGCTCAAAGTTGCACCGCGCCCGCCAGAAATATCCTTCCCCCCTCGTCTGCTTCCTCCCGCTCTCGCTTCCTGGAGGCGGAGCTCCGGCTAACCCCGCCGGGGCGGGCCGGCTCTTCGCCTCCCCTGCCTATCTCTTCCTCGCTCCCCCCGTGCACGTCGTCTCGCCCGGCCTTGAGCAGTAGCCGACCTGGTTGGCGATGGTTTGCACCACGCTCTGCAGGATCGTTCCTCCTCCCCGCCGTCTTCCCCTCTCCCTCCCCTTCTCCCCCTTCTTCCGGGTCGTCCCGCCGCACTGTGGGCGAAGTCTTCTTGGGCCAGCCGCGGATGTGGCGGTGTCACAGGTCCGTGCTTTAATGAATGGCGTCGTTCACAAACGTAGTTTCGCAGCAGTGCACGCTTCAGATTTGCAGGCCGCCGTGAAGGAGGCGGCGCACAGACTGCAGCTTCTTCCGCAATGCATGTCCGTTTTGATACTACAGGCTTCCGTTGGAGAAGCGGCGTTGCAGAGGGGGCCGCTTTCGCCACAGCACCGGAGCCGGCAAATGCCGCCTTCCGGCGGACAGCTCCCCACCAGCTCCGTCAGTGCAAGCGCTGGCGTGGTAAAGGGGGTTGCCCCCCCGCCCCTCCTTCTCTCCTCCGCCCCCTCTTTCTCCTCCCTCGTCCCCCGCGCGCGGCGACTCGCCCCCACGTTGTGGCGGTAGAGGGGCACACGACGTGGTTCGTCTTGTTAGCCAGTGCGCGTCTCAGATCTTTGCTGGCCTCAGGAAGGACACGATCAAGAGGGTGAATGGAGGGATGCCGTGTCGGTCGGCCCCTGGTGGGATGGCGCCCCTCACCAGGGAGCCGGAAAAACAATGGCTCCTCGGATCGGCACCCTCCTTTTTTTCTTCAGTAGGACTTGACTTGTGGGAGTTGCCTCCCCTCACTTTGCCCTCCTTCCTCCGTTCTTGCATGTGCATGTCTGTTTTTACAGTTACATCTTAGTGTCTGCACATCGGTGTTATTATTCACCAGGGGCCGGCCGGCTGTACATGGGCTGGTGTTAGGCAAAAGCTGCTGGCATGCTGCGCAGCCGTTCTCCGCTCTCCTTCCTCCCCTCTTCCCTTCTAGTGCTACTGTGTGCGATTTTAGTTTTCGGCTGAGTAGGCCAAAGGGGGATTTCCACACAGGGATGGGATCTCAAGTTTGCGTGGTCGTTCATGGAGCTTGGTCTCTGCGCTAGCTAAATCATATTCCACGATTTCTGACCCAATGTTGCCATTTAGGGAAGTGTTGCCAGTGCTTTTTTACTTCTGGCATGGGCCAGGGCTTAAAGTTGACGTTGCGCGTGACATCTCGCCACCAGCAGTGTTTCGCAAGTGTCGAGCGTGGCCGGCACGCGGGTACGGGAGACTGTTCTGGCAGGGCCTCGGGGTCCACCTCACGGGCACGGTGAGGATGCCACTGTGTCGGCGGGAGCTGCTCTGCTGGTGCTGTGAAAAGAATATATATAATATATATATATATATATATATAATATATATATATATATATATAATATATATATATAAACAAAACATGTTTTTTTTTGAATATTTATTTGAGTATTTTTTTTTTGGGGGGGGGGTATGTTTGGTTCTTCCTCCAAAATCCGTCTGTAGGGGGACATGCCCGACCCAGCCCACGCGCCCCCCGACGTGGTCCGGCAATTCTTGGAAAGCTCCGACAGGGCCCCAGGAGGACTCCCCGAGGGCCGCAGGCATTTGGTTGTGGTTACTTACAGCAGGTGTTTCGATTAACCTCTTCGGAGCGACCGCGACGGCCGAACAAGCCTCGAACATCGCTCCAAGCCAGCCCTGCGGCCAAAGAGGGCGCTCATGTAGGTGACAAGCACATCCCAGAGAATGCTTGTAATTTCCTGCTGCCGTATCCATGAGTTATCCGCCCGCCGTTCCACTCGGCTCCCTTCCGCACACTGCCCCGCCTTCGATCACGCTTGCCATTTTCCCGACTCTCCCCGTCCTAAGCCTGAAGAGGGAGGATACGTTCGTTCACGTGACGGACCTGTCGGGCCGCGAGACCATCATTCGCGTCACTGGGGGCATGAAAGTGAAGGCAGCTGGGTTGGCTGGACCGTCGGCACGCAGGGAGTCCATGGTGAGATTTTGTGCCTTTGACACTCCAGACCTCCTCCGTCGCGCTCCCCTTCCCTGCTACCCCCTACGCAGATGGAGGGAGGCAAGAGGGCGTGCACATCGGGAGCCAGCGAGCGCCCCCCAAACGACAGGGGCAGCGCGAACACACCCGGTCAAAGATCGTCGTAGAGCAGCACGCGTGAGTCTCTGAACGTCTTGCATCCTTTCGCCCCAAGTGTTCTTCCTTGCTGTACACACATTCAAGGGTCTGTCTTCAATCCCAGTACCAGGTGATGTTGTCCGACATCTGACCCCGCGTGACGGGAGTCTGACCTGATGTCTGACCTCACCTGGCGAGTGTCCACCAGCCGTCCGACCCCGTCAGCCTGATGCCCGCCGTGTTACGTTTGTTTTTGAGATCAGGGGCGGCGACGTCAAAGTCGCGCGCGGCAGAGGTTCGATATCGAGCAAAGCACATCTGAGCGACGCAAACAAGCGGGTTCGACTGCGCGGACTTTCGCGCCTAAGCTGCCCGCGTAAGGTCGCGTGTAAACGCCCTCGTTTCCAATGCAGCGGGCCGCGCTGGCGGCCCGTGCAATCCACCGTGTACGGTCCTTCGACAGTCTTATCGCGTAAGACTGGCTTCTCTGCGACGCTCACTTGGTGTTTCGAGTGATGCCGCAAATGATGTGGATTGAACTCGCCGTCCGTGGCCCACCGGCTGGAGCTTGCCCCCTCCGAGCGCACACGCGCCGCGGCCGACGAGCCGACTCTGTGGCCAGGCGGACCGCGACGAGTCTTCCCCGTACGCCGCCATGCTCGCCGCGCAGGACGTGGCCGCTCGCTGCAAGGAGCGCTGGGGGCGGGCGGCTCGGCGGCGGCCTTCCGCGGGCGTCCTTTGGGCAGCGAGCAGCGGGGCCCTCGAACGGTGTGGCGTATGGGGATTTCTGCCTCGGGATGCGTTCCAGCAGCTGCCCCTCGGCGAGAGCGTTTCCGGGGTGCGTGGTGCGGGGTGCGAGAGGACTGAGCTGTAGATTGCAGTGGGGGCCCCTGCCAAGAGAGACCCTGCTCGCTTCCATGGGTGCCCTGGGTTTCTTGGGTGTCGATGGATTTGCCATGGAAAGGGTGGCGTTCCCACGCCAAAGTCAATGGACGGCAGGATCTCAGGGTTGGGTTTCTTGTGGAAGGTTTCTTGTAGACTGGCCTCCGCTATGATTTATGGTTTCGTCGGTGCTTTTGGCTGCGCCATCGGACTTGCCATCGGGGCGCCCAGGGGCCCCGCTGCATGCGCGCTGCGCGGGGCCCCGTGGAGTCGTGCTGAGAGGTGCCCTCGCACGACGGCGCAGGCCGCGCATCGGTCCGCGCGTGCTCGAGCAAGCAGCAAGACATTTCGTGCACGTTGCCTCTCATCGCTTGGTCCCACTCAGTGCGGCGAGGACGCTTGCTGGAGAGTGGCGGCCACGAGGAGTCGCCCCGACCGGCCGCCGGGGACCCGACTTGTGCTGGAGAGTGGCGGCCACGAGGAGTCGCCCCGACCGGCCGCCGGGGACCCGACTTGTGGGCCAAGAAGCCAGACTCGGAGGAGGGCTGGCCTGGCAGGAGGCGGTGGGGACTCGGGGCCACCGCACGGCTGTGGGGATCTGGGCCGTTGTCCCGAGGGCGGCTCCGGCGGGCGGGGGCCACCGACGTCTCCATGCCGTGCGACGGACCGCGCGGTGAGGTCTCTTGGGGTTGCGAGGCCCCCGCGCGGTCCCAAAGAAGGCAGCGGGTGTCCGCTGCGGGGCGGTGGGCCCGCCGCTGGGGGCCTCGCGGCGCGGCCCGTGTGGCGGGAGGCGGGCGGCGGGGCGGGGGCCCTCGGCCCTCGCCAGGTTCTCTCCTCTGCGCGCGGGGCTGCTTCTTGCTCTGCTCCTCCTCGCCGAGCGCTGTGGCGAGCTTTCTCGCCCGACCCCGCGCGTCGGGCTGCTGCCTTCATGCGGGACCCACGCGTATGCATCACCACCGCGGGCTGGTTCTCTGTCGTGGGGGTTGATCGGGTCATTGTTTCGGCGGCGCGTCAGATCTCGCGGTGATGCCATGTCGCGTGTGCAGCGTCATTTGGGCAAGCGGCTGCATGCGCAACAAAAGCAACACACTCACGTGGTGTATATTTCGGGGTGGTGTATAAAATCGGGGGGGGGGGGGCCTCCATCGTTGTTATTCGCCACCACCGTGCTGCCATAGGGTGCCAGGGAGTGATTTTTCGCGACCGAATGTGGGGCCGCCATCTGCGCGCATGACCACGTGGCAAGTACTTGCGCTAGGCGGGGGCAGGCAGTGGCACCCCTGTCAGGGCGGTCGCGCGCAGGATTTGTCCGTTCCTATGGTCGCCTGGTGGCGGTGTATATATTGGGGCCCCGTACCTCGCACGCTGTGCGGGGAGCCGCATCGAGCTGGGACTGCTTGGATTGGCGGCGCGCCGAAGGGGGGAAATCGAGAAAAGGGCAGGCCTTTCTCGGCAGGCGGCGGGGCTGCTCAGGAGTTCCCCTTGCCTTCTGAGGAGCCTTCCGCGTCTTCGGAGGAGGCGCAGGAAGATTTTCAGAAGGCCGGAGGCCTTCCGAGCTTTCTGAAAAGGGCCCGCCCCCTCTGCCTTCTTGGGGCACGCCTCCGGGTGTGGGGAACCCCATCGCGTCAGGACTGCTTGGGGGGTTTCCCAGGCCTTCTCAGCTTCCGGGGCGGCCCTCCTGCAGCCGGGCACATGGTCTCCCACTTGGCGCTCCGCCTCTTCACTGCCGAGTGGAGCGCGTGGCGCGCGCCAGGTGCCAGTCAAGACGCTGAAATAAAGACCATTTTGGGCTCACAAGGGGCTGTGGGTTTCGGGCCAATCCGTAGGTCTGGGTCTGGAAGCCCATTCGTGGCCGAGGTTCGCCGTGACCAGAAAAACCCCTTCGGTTCTTATTGAGCGTTCCTTATGATAGCACGATGGCTACACGACCAGCAGCGGGGGCGCGGTGCTGCAGGGGGTGCCTGGAGGTCCTGGGAGGTAGGGTGGGCGCTTCTCCTCAGGGGTAACGGTAGGGGGGGCTCGGCTTAGGGGGGATGCGTCGACCCCCGCTTGCCGATTGATCGCCGATAGGCGCCCGACAGCCTGCGCATCGCCGATCTATCGGCGACGCCGATTCTAGGTCGATGTTTCTCCCCCTTAGTTTGTCACCCCTTATGTTGCCCTTCGTCCCCCTCCGACGCCTGCTCCGCCTGGGGCTGTCGCCCCCTCGCCATTTGTCTCGAGAGGGGGCGGATCGACGGGGAGGAATCCTTGGCCAGGATGTGACGGGGGGCGGGCTTGCTGGAGGGCGGGGGCGGTCGGAAGGCAGGCCCCTCCGACGCCTGCTCCGCCTGGGGCTGTCGCCCCCTCGCCATTTGTCTCGAGAGGGGGCGGATCGACGGGGAGGAATCCTTGGCCAGGATGTGACGGGGGGCGGGCTTGCTGGAGGGCGGGGGCGGTCGGAAGGCAGGCGAAGGGGGGTGGGACAAGCTTCTGGGCGGCGCTCGGTAATCAGCCGAGGGGGAAGCCTCGTCCAGAGGGGCGCGGTGTGGTGGAGGGGGCAGGCAGGGGAGGGCATGGTCACTGCCAAACGCTCTGGCGAGGGAGGCCCCCGAGCTTTCGGGAGGCCCCGTGCCTTTTGGAGGTCCAGTGTTTGTGCGCTCCCGGCCGCGGGCTGCCCGCCATGGCCGCCCGCTCCCCAGTGCCGGTGCTCTTTGCTTCCAGCGTTCCCCCTCCTCTTTCACGTGCGGCCTCGCCCCGCGTGGTTCCCCTCCACGGCAGGCGCGCGGGGCGGGCCCCCTACGGGCCCCGCCACACCGCTCAGTCGCCCCCGCGGCCGGGCCTGCTGCCCGCCCCGCCCAGCTGATGCGTGAACCGGTCGGGCGGGGCGCTCCTTCTCCCCTCTTTCGTCTGCCTGTCTTCTTGCTCCCTCTCCCCTCCGGCGCCCGCCTCGGTGGTGCCCCGCGTGGACACCGCGCGCTGCCGCTGGGTCCCTGTCTTGGACTCACCTCCAGCAGGCGCCGGGCTGGTCGACCGTGTGACGAACAACCGGATGTACCACTCGTTCCTGGCAGCTTCTTGGGGCTTCTGTGCTGGCGTAGCTCCCCACGCTCTCAGTACCTGCGACCTTGGCTAAAGTCCTTGGATGTGGCCGTGATGCCGTCCCGCGTCCACTGCCCTGGCACCGCCGCCCTGGCTGGCCGCACAGGCGCGCTCGCCGTGAAATTCTCTCACCTGTGAGTGACCTCTCCCCCCTCCGCTTCCTCCGCGGCCGCCCTGTCTTCCGCGCCCCCCTCTCGCATCCGGAAAATTCGTCAGCCGTGCGCCTTCTACTGCTGCGAGCGCCCGTGCGGGTCGCTTCTCCTGTGCTGCCACGGAAAGGAGCCTTTCGGAGGTCCAAGAGAAGTAACCAGTATGGGCAGATGATTGACCAGCAACGGCTTTGCATCGGACAGGTGGGGGGGAATTTCGGATGGCCACCGGGCATCTGTCTTTTCAAGTTTCGCCCGCTTGTGTGGAAGGCCACCCCCTCCTACCTCTCCCTTTTCTCATTCGCGTCTTTCCTTTGCCCTGCCGTCACTGACCATGGTGCGCTCGTCATGTTTTGATTATGCTGCCGACTTGGGAAGCCAGCGGCAACCAACGTTTTTCTCGCCATCCCGATATTTTTCCTCGCTTCGGTCTGGGGTTTGACGTCCTCCAGATCGCTCTTCTCTCATCTTTCTTCACGGCGTTCTCGTCCTCTCTGCTCTAGCCTCGTCTTTCAACGTGTCCAGCCCGTGCCGTTGTTTCGACGCCCTCTGGAAGGTTTTCTTTTCGATATCAGCATCGATCCGAGCAGCTTCGTCACGACAGTGCATGTCGCTATCGTCGAAGGATCGTCGAAGTATTGGTCGATGTGTTGCTTTCAGAAGATGCGTAAACGATGGGTTTCAGTTTTCGAACAACTTCCCCGATTCTGTTTCGAATGTGTGATGCTCCCGAAGGAACTTGGCATCACGGCGCTTCACATCAAGCTGCGCGCAACAGGCCTGGAACAGGGAGAGGGGGAGTCCGCGCGGGGGGGCCTGGGGGCCCAGGGCGGCGCTCATTACCTGGAGTGCTCTTGGCAATGGGCTCCGACTTTTGCACACATACTCTACCCGCGACCACCTTTGAGTTCACATGACATGCAGAGATGCTATCCTGTAAGTTTTTCCCTCCAGGTAGCGCCGCCATCAGCGACAACATTGTACAGGATGCCTCTGTACCAATTTTGCGGCCAGGGGGAACTGCTTATTTCGTACCAGAGCGCTGTCTTTGCTGCCGTGCGAGCCCGAGAGCCATTGGCTTCTTTTCATTTCACGCAGCCAGGGGCGCACATATCACCGCGGCTTCAAAAAGAAGCAGTCGCCGTCTGGCTTGCCTGGGTCTGCGGATGGCACGTCTGCCGAGAACTGTGCACGTGCCGCCTGGCTACGATGGTCGGCCGCGCCACCTGGCATCGGCCCCCCGCTGAGTCACAATATTTAGAAGTGCGCAATTCTTTACGCTTCGCGTATCCCCACCAGCCCATCTCACAGCAGCAACTCTCGCGAAGCATGCCGACAGTCGTGTTTTTCAGGCG